AAAATGAGTAAAAAGAGAATTTATAAAAAATTTAGATTTGAAACTTTGTAATTTTTATTATTTGAAATCTTTTTAAAATTAAAAAAAATTAAAAATATAAATTTTTAAGAGAAATTTAAATTTATGAAACATGAATAGTGTCAAAAAGCTAAAACTGTAAGAAGATAATCCAAACATTTGTAAGTTTTAGTTTCTCATCTTATAATATGATATTTTTAACTTTTCACTTATTAAAATTTAAAAAAAATGACTATTATTTTATAATATTTCGTTGATTTTGTTAATTGATTGTTAATTATGTTAGTTGACTATTAATTCTATTAGTCAAAAATAAGTTTTTATCAGTTAACAATCAACTAATAGAATTAACAGTCAACTTAACAAAGTAACTTTGTTAACTAACTGTTAATTCTATTAGTTGAAAGTAAATTTTTATCAATTAATAATTAACTAATAGGCGAGTTAACAGTTACCTAGCAAAAATAATAAAATAGTATAAATGAGGATTATTTTTTTTAATTTTAATAAGTAAATAATTAAAAATATTATAATATAAAATAAAAAATTAAATCTATAAATTTAATAAGATAAAAAGTTAAAATTAAGGTTTTATCCGTGCTTATATGATTCTTTTGTGATTTGGCCCCACATTTGACCACAAATCAACTTGTGTCTCTCAAGTCCGCTCCGCACTCCTTCAGGAAAATTTTTTTCTATACGGATAAAGGCAAGTATAATCTCTCTACTTATAATTTTTATTTAGGATTTTTAGGATATAAATTAAGGATATAATTAATATATTTTTTAATCATTATTATATATTAAAAATTAAAAATATTGATATTAATATTAACATTAAATATTCTAATTTAATTGATTAATTATTCAAATTAAAATTAATTTTTTTTTATAATTTAATAATAAAAAAATAAATTAATTACTTTTTAACTTGTGTCTCTAAGACCCAAGTTAAAAAGATCCTTTTATTTATTATCTTGTTTGTATTTACAAATAGTTTAAAGTTTTTTCTCTGCTCTTTAATAGTATTGTGAAAATTGTGTAAATGAGTTCAATACGAGATTTGCATCTAATTTAAAATCAATTTGTAATAGGTGGAGTAGTCATCCTTGTATTTAACCCACAAACTTCTTATTTTTATATTCGATGTGGAATTTTCCCACTTAACACGTACTCTCATGTGTTGGCCTACTATGAATGTGAGGTCATGTCATGTGACTTGACACGTCCCTTTACATGCAGATTCAGTATCAACTTCGGGTCTTGTCAGGTGGGCTAATAACAGACTTCCCAAGGCAAAACTGGAGTTCTAATACCATGTGAAAATTGTGCAAGTAGGTTCAACACAAGACTTACATCCAACCTAAATCCAATTGGTAATAAGTGAAGTGGCCATCATTAATCCACAAATTTCTTACTTTTATACTCGATGTGAGATTTTCTCACTTAACAAGCATATTATAATGCTTCCTTTATTTTAACTGTTCATTACATTTATCTCTTTTCCCTGATACCAAGCTAACACCGTTTCTAGTTTCTCTCTCATAGAGACATCATGGACAATCAAATATGATAGTTTATTATTTTTCTTGAATTGTGTTTGTTGGCTCAAAAATCCTGCATAAATAATGTATTTAACTAATTAAATAAAATAACCCACCATGTACTTTTCC